TGGTCCGACAGGAACACGGGCGCCGCGGGCCCGTCGTAGGTCAGCGCGAAGCTCCGGTCGAGGCGCGTCTTGATCTCGCAGCCCGCGTAGCGCCGCGTGTCCGGCAGCGCGCTGATCGACGGGCACCAGTAGGCGTCCATGATGTCCTGGTCGCCGTTGGTGTAGACGAGGTAGTCGCGCGTCAAGCTCTTCGAGAAGAGGGCCCGGGACACGGCCGCGTCCGTCCGAAAGACGATGACGCTGCCGTGCATCCCGACGTAGCCCCGGTGCGCGCACTCGAAGGCCGAGACGAGCGGGAACCGCGCCCAGCGCTTCGCGACGCGGTGCGGGTCGGCGAGGAGCACGACGTCCAGGTCGAGGTAGACGAACTGGTCCGCCCAGCGGGTGCAATTAAACAGGATGAACTTGTACCGCGTCTTCCAGCCGTCGGTCCGCGCCTGCGGCGCCTGGTTCGTCGTGAGATTGAACCACATCTTCCGCGTCGACGCCTCGTCGACGGCGTACACCGGCCGGAAGACGGCCTTCGTGTCGACCGCCGTCAGGTTCAGCACGCCGACGCGCCGCGACGGGTCGCAGATGCGCCGCTGCGCCTCGACGTCCGCGTTCGACGTGCCGACGAGCACGGGCATCTCCGTCGCCGCGCGGACCGCGCACAGGAACGCCGAGATGCGCGCCAGCGCCGCCCGTCGGAACGCGCGCGGCAAGAGCCGGCGTCCGTCGTCCGCCGGCTCGTCGATCCACAGCGTCGCGATGGCGACGCGCAGCGGCGCGCGCTTGACGAGCTGCACGGACTCCTCGCATGCGCCGCTCACGTAGGGCACGTCGTGCGCTGTCGCCGTCACGAGACGCGCGAGCACGAGCGCGGCGACGCGGCCTACGAGCATGAGATCACAGCGTCTCCGGGGCAGCCATCCTCAGTGTGTGGGATTGCAGGCACCATGCTGTCGGTTGACGCTTACCAGCCCGCGATTTCCCGGAGCTTCGGCTCGAGGAACCGCGCGACCTCCGCTTGGCCCGCGCGGTTCTTGTGGCCGTCGCAGCCGATGTCGCCGTGGTCCGTCACCACTGTGCCATCGCAGGGCACGAAGACGTAGGCCGCGCGCCGCGCCGGGTTCGCCGTTTGGTAGGCATCGACGGCGGCTTCCACGTGCGGGCACGGCTTGCACCGGTTGTTGTCCGGGTCGAAGGCGGCCTCGGCCGGGCTGCCCATGCCACAGACCGCGGCCACGGCCGGCGCCCCACCGGCGAAGATGCGGTCGAGGAGCGCCGCGAGGCCGCGGCGAACGTTC